AAAGGAGGGGGGAACCTGTTTTTTGGCCAGGCTTGCCACCCCTCCAATTGGGGGCCGTCGCATTGGCCGTCTGTTTTTGGGTCTGACTTTGAGCCTGACCAAGCAAGTTTATGCTTATGATCATCACTGCAATTCAGATTGGGTTGGACCTAGTTTAGTAATCGACGCCGTATTTCTTTTGGGAATCTAAAAGAGGTTATATATCGAAGTCGGATTTTTTAGTCTGTACATATCTGCTTTTCCCCGTACTCCACGCGGACTACCTTCGCCCTTTTAAGCCCCCTCCCCGTCCTTTTCTTTCATCACATATAAATGATTTTTCCTGATTTATAAGTGGTCATTTGTCGACACACTTGTCAAGCTTTTTCTCCATCAAGTATTAATTCTTTAGAGTTATTCTTGGTGTTCAAGGTAAGAATTCACCGAATTTCTATCGAATACTCACAACAAGAGCGTGGGTGAGTATTTTTTTGGATAATTTTTTATGGAGGTGGATCCTTGTTTCTTTATTAATATTTATATTTTTCTTCAATTCACTTGACAGTCCGCATCACCATTCTACTGCAAATTCAAATCGTTATAGAGAACTTAATAGAGTTCACACTTCGTTAAGTTGAACCCGAAGTTCCACTGATAATTCATGCATAAATTATTAAATACATAAAGGTATACGAAAATAAAACACTTGCACATAAATATTTTGCCGTTCATTGAAAGATACTAAAAGAATGATCGTAAAAACCTTTTTTCTATGCTTCTTTTTTTCTCTACCTTAACTCTCTTTTCTTTTGTGGTAAATCTGTAATTGGTGTTTGGTAGGATGACTTTTTTTTGTTATTTTATGCATACATTATTGTTAATTAATGCTAAATATAGAAATAAAAAAAAATAAAAACAGGATTAAAAACTAGAAAGCTATTAGCAAAAAATAAGTGAAAACTGTGAAAGAGAAAGTACAAAAGAGAGAAGAATATAACTAGTGATGGGAGGTAAAAATTAGGCGAAGCCAGAAGTCTATGTATGTACTCTTAGTAATCATTGCCTGACCCCAAGAAAGATGCAAAACTTTATAATTAACTAAAGGAATATAGAACTGTGGGCCAAATAAGTATGTTTAGTAAGGATTAAAATCTCATTTTAATGTAAGTTAAAGTTAAACAATCAATGTTAATTATATCTCTCATGGTCCCACAATTTTTCAATTACATATTTCAAAAATTTTTATCACAATTTAATAAAAAATATAATTTTAATCCCTACCAAATACCCATAATATCAAATTATAACAGATTATTAGTTTAGCTCAATGCCTCCTCTCTTTTTTACTTGTCTGTCTCCTTTTGTCTATATCTTTCTCCTTCTCCTGCATTTACTTAGCTGCTGCTCTATCTCTCTCTCTATCTTTCTTTCTTACGTGCACCCAATCAGATCATGACTTGTGTCTATCAACTTCGGGATTTGTACAGAGAAAGGAGGCTAGGGTTCCTACAATCTCTTTGACCTAATAATTCTATGCTTTTAGGGTTTTTCCTCTTCTTTTCTTCTAAAAATTTTAAAGCTTTGTCTAGTCTCGTATCGAATGATCATGGGCACTCACAACTTTATTTAGGAAAAATTAATAGTAAAGTAATTTTTATTTCTTACTTATATATATATATATATATATATACTTTTACTTATTTTTTTTAGGGGCGATAATCCCTTGAGGTTAGTCTTAATTAATTTTTTGTCATAATTTTGAATAACTATATATATGATGAATTTTAGATTAATTCAACACACACACATAATTCTTGTAATCAAATGCGTAGTTTTTGAAAGTAAATTTCCCACTGGATGAAGATGTAAACAATGCATTTGCATTTAACACTAAATGAAGGTGTAAACGATGCATTCACACTGATAAAGAAATACAATCTTACTTTACATTTAACACTAAATGAAGGTGTAAACGATGCATTCACACTGATAAAGAAATACAATCTTACTTTTATCTTGCACAGATAAAGAAATGGTCGATAACCTTAGGCCCAAGTAATAAATCCACTTGCAATGTGTTTGGCAGGAAACACAATACAGACGTGGGGTAAGTGAAAAATTAGGCGAAGTTTATACATGTGCTCTGGTACTAAAGTAAAGAGTATTAACAAGTCTTGTCCCATGACCCGTTAAGAAATAAAATCTTTATTTTCGTTATTTAGTGCTTTTCTATGGCTAGCAATGCGTTGATCGAAAATTTTTAAATACAGAGCGAGCCCTGTAAGGTCCCCGTTGATGAGGATCCCAAATTAAAAAATCATATAAATAACATAAAACTTATCAACATAAATATATCAAAACCATTATTTTCTCTATATATAATTAATTTGACTATTTATTTTCCCTACCATCATTTTTCTTTTTCTTAACAAGAATCAAAACTATGGATAAAGAAGCAAAACCAAGAATAAGAATTAAAGAATCAAAAGAAACAAAATTCAAGATTAAAAGTGAAAAGCCAAACATGAAAAGATTGTAGTTCAAACTTTAATATTCATGATCCAGAATCAAGATCTAGTAATAAGGAATTATTCCCAATAAATTAAGGTATGTTCGGCATTAATTATTTTTATTGGTGATTTGACGCGGGAATCTTGGTAATTCATAAAGTTTTGCAAAGTTTAAATTTCATAAAAATTCAACACTTTTTACTTATCTTTTCCGGCAGGAAATTTCTTATATATTTATATTTTGTAATGGTTAAACTTTACACTAATTAATGCTAAATATCGAAATAAATGCTAAATTTCTTGGTAATCCATTGTTGTTAATTAATGTTAAATATCGAAATAAAAAAAATTTAAAACAGGATTGAAAACTAGAGCAAGATATTAGCAAAAAATAAGTCAAAACAGTGAAAGCTAAAGATAAAAAAGAGAGAAGAAGATAACTAGTGATGCTGTAACTCATCTTCTTCCACCTTTCTTCTTCCTTTTAATGCTGTAACTGAGCACAGCCGCCGCGCCTGTAAATTCCAGCCGATCCAGCACGGCATTATTATAGATAGAAAAACATTAAAAATGGTTTCACACATACATGTTTTATAGGTTTAGATCTATGAAATAACCTAACTTTAGAACTATGTAAAAACATGCCCCCTCGCCAGGTGATGGATCCGCCATTGCCACCGTGCCTGTAACTTCCGGCGAACCTAGCACAGTCGGAGGAGCTACACTGCTGGGTGCTGAATCCGCCACTGTTTAACTTGGAAGAAGCGGGCCAGTTTGTCCCATAGAGAAGTACCGAACCAACCACATCCATAGATTGTTGAAGAAGCGGCGGAGATGGGTCATGAAAATGTGTTCCTCTCTTCCGTAAACCCAGTAGAACAACTCACCACCTGATATTAGTACACACAGCACATATAGAACAGGCCTGACGGAGTCTGGGAAGAAGATCGATGCCAGTGATGCCACTGCAGTATTGCCAAAAAACACCATACAGTGGAAAGGGTATGGTGGGGGGTTACCGTCTAAATTTTGAGACCTCAGATTCATCCCATATGCCAAAACGGCATAAATGAAGAAACTAATAATTACCATATACATCGTTATGGAGTGAGTTGTAAACGGACTTTTGTCCATTCCATTGTTCTTCACCTGCAATAAAGCAAGCAATGTATAAACAATGAACTTAAAGCTTTTACCATTGGAAGAGATTTTAAACCATATATGAAGGATATGCAAAATCTGGGCACAAAATTGTGCCCGGTTGAAGTTCGGAGAAGGCATTCCCCTTGTAGTTAGCGGCACTGGATTTTCAGACAAAGGGATCAGTATGAAAATTTGTCTTGAGAGTGAGAGAGGAAGAGACAAATTAAGGTTTATTTATGGCAGGTAATGTTGTGAGGTCTATTTAAGTGCACCTAGGGATTCAAGTGTGATAAATTGTGCATCTGTCCCACTTGACCCTCACCCATATTGAGGAGTTACTGTCAAAAGAAAATGTACAAGGAAAATACGTAATTTTCCTGTACAAGAATTTTAGCGCGGCTTTCTTTCTTCCAGCTTCACTCCATGATACCCATGGAACTTCAAACCCCTCGATTCAAGCTCGTGTCCCTTCAGAATGATGGAACTTCAAATCCCTCGATACTAGCTTGTCTACCTTCAGATCTTTGATTGGTGCTGATAAGAATGTACACAAGATACGTGAAAGGTTGCCTTATCAAGCGGGCCCACCAGTATTTTAATTTCTTTTACTTCATTAATATTGTCCAATACCATAAGATTGAACTTAGCAAAAAAGTCATGGATGTTATCAACTACATTATCAAGGGGAGTTCACACCTTGCACAAGAAAAACGGTGTCAAATTTCCAGATTGCCATAAAAACTACAGTAAATTTTCCCTATCACTGGTTGCATCAGATTCACGAGATACTGTTATATGAGATAAAATAAATTCTTTTAGACATTGATTATGCTCCTGCAATTATCTTATAGTCCAATGGTATGTCCCTTCTGCGGCATTATATCTTAGAGTAATGTTTGTTGTATAGAAAATTTCTTACAGAAAATTTACAGATATCTAACAAAGTGTGGGCCCGTATGAATAAATAATGTCCAAAAACTCACCCACCCACCCCGCCCATGTGAGGTATCTGTAGGGGTTTTGTGAATCCCTACATTGTATACCAATCATCTTCCTATATCTTAGCACATGATAAGCTAAGTTATAGCCCCCAGGAAAAGGGTAGGGGGATTTTACATTTTGAAATTCCAGTTGTTGTACCTAGCTTTAGCACTTGGGCTCTACTTCTATGTCGTGCTGGATGGTGCACAGCCATGCTTTCTTCTTGGAATGAGAAAATGTCGGAATTTCCAGTTTGAACTTCAATTGATGTGCCCATAGACTCTCTACTTGGACTTCCTACAGGATCTCCCCTATAATTTTGCAACTTCATTCCTTCATTAGCTCGTCGGGCGCAAAATTTTAAGCACTCAAACAACTCAAATCGAGTATCCAGAAAATACTTCACTTAAAGAAACAACATTTATCCATGGAGATCAGCATTCTCTAAGTTCTTGTTTAATTGTCTTCCAAGTACATGCGCACATTCATTTTCTTGTACAAATATCATCAAACATTTGCATATATTATGATACTATAACAATTATTTACGCGTAAATCTCCACACAAAGTTGATGCATATATGGTGAGTGTATTGACCAGAAATCTTCTGAATGCCGACTGAATGATCATTGCAGCATTTTCTTGCTGAAAATTTTGTAGGTTGAGTTTTGCTTTTCCTTTGGACTTCCATTCTTCACCTCATTGCTTTCAGCATCTGCTTGGTCCTTGAATCTCCTCCCAATGGTTGATTAACAGTGGCCTGAGAGCTTCTAATAGATGCCCTATCCGCCTCTGCATAAACTGAAGTAAATTCACCTTCATCAATTGCAGGTTTGAAGCTCGATAAATCATCCTCTGCAACTATTGAACTAAACTCATCCCCGCAAAGGTATGATCTTACTGAACTCCATCTTTTCTTTTCCACAGCATAACTCCTAGCCTGATTACAATAAATTCTCTCAAACTTTAGTTACTAAGTTCAAACCAAATCAAAACAAATCCAGGCATAAGTACAATATACTATCAGCATTCTGTAAGTTAGATTATCAAACCACTTGAACGCAATTAACTTACATGGCTGTCACGCATTCGTACAGACAGGCTTTGCGAGAACGCAGTTCTAACTAGTTCCCCTGTGATTCCCATCTCAGTTAATCCTTTAGCAGAATTCTTTGAGCCCCTTTTCAAGAAAACACTACAATTATATAGAAAGAGGAAACAGGAAGCTTCAGCTACATAATGGTGATCATGCTCCCTCTGCAGACTCGTGTAGATCATCAGTAAAAAAAGCAACCAGTACTTAATGACATATAGCTGGAACTGAACCAAAACATCTGCCATATTTGCAGAACTTTAGAGCTGGAATTGGAGGCTTTAAATTGCAAAAGTGAATGTACAATTGCAAAGCATAGAGTATAGAGAAAGGAAGGATAAAGTTCATAACTTTATGCACATGGCTGACACTTTACTGGATTTTATTGAAGTTTGCTTGCAACTGGGACCATGCCAATTTCTTTGGAGTTGATAGATTTTTATTTTTATAATATTATTATTTTATTATTTTATTTTTGGTGGCAGTTGGGGTACCAAAAGCGCACGCTTGGCTAAGCTTAAAGAATTTACTCATAAGTAAATTTTAAGTTAAATAAATCTTTTTTATGTAAGTAAATTTTATAGTAAATAACCATTTTTCGGTAGTTACGGCGGAGAAAAGTTCCTAAAATTTATGTCATGAGAAAACAAATATTTTCTATTATTTAATAGAAAATAATAAAAAAGTCAGTGTACTGTTTTGAATTTGGTCCCACCCCTTCTCCTTTTATGGCTTTGCTACAAATACGGAGTTTTGTGACAAGTTTATAAATCAAGGAGACACGTGTTATTCAAGGATTGGACAGTTAAAAACAAATAAAATGGTAGCACCTGTTTTTTATTCCTGGAAGCTATTCCTATCAGCATAGTTTTATCCTTGGGAACAATACATATAACAGATATATAGTATGTGACATTTCAATTATAAGAAACGTCCCATAATATTTCACAATTCAGGTCATAAAATAGTTATATATTATATATAATAAATATAATTTATTATATATGGAATATATACACATGGAATGAATAGATATGGACGCTGCAATCACGCAAACGGTTACCAATTTGAACATAAGGCTTCACAAAAACAGCCTCATCTTTTTGGGGGGGAAAGCCACAAAACGGTATCGCAAGATTCACAACTGCAGATTTTTTCTCCATACCCATCGACAGAAGCTGTGTTGGAGAAACACTGATTCAATCTTGGTCACAATCAATTCATAATTATATTAATTAAAAATATATTTTTTTAATTTTAATATGTCTTGTTCACAACATTACAAAATTTTTTGTCACAATTGCTCAATTATAAGTCACAACTTATTCATTGGTCACAAATTTTCAAATTAATTGGCCACAATTTATGTAGTGATTATAAATTATATAATTTTTATGTCACAATTAAATGGTTTACGCATTATTTTTCGATCACAAATTACAAATTTTATAAATCGCAAATTAAGCCTCCGTTTGATTCCCATTAAATTAAATTACATTACATTCCATTTCTCTCTCTCTTATTTTCAACCACACAATCTTCCATAAAATAATATTACACATAAATCGAAAATTTTTCCTTTTTTTACCAACCACTCATTTTTCTAAAAAATACTATTTCCCCATTTTCATTTTTAGGTAATGGGGTCAAACGGAGGCTAAATAATTTTTAGATCACAATTAAATTGTTAGTCACAAATAACCAAATACCAAGTCACAAATTAATCATATTATTGGTCACATACACCAAAGCACCCCACTCCCACCTCCGCAGATGGTTACACACCATTCTTCACGCCTTGCTCGTCGTCGCAGCACCACCACAATTGCCACCAACGTGGACTACAACACCACGACCACCATTGATCACGACACAGTACACAGCCACCACACAAACCCCAGATCCGCCATCGCAGCCACCACACAAACACCTCAAACAAATCACTGCCACCACACAAGCACTAGATTTGTCGAGATCCACGACCACCTCACCAAGGAAACAACACCACATCATAGTAATAAACCACCATCGCTAATTAGATCTAATAAAAAAACAAAAAATTGCCGCCACCACAAGATCTAACAACAAATCATGACAAAACTACAAGATCAACGGTCTGTGATGTTCACATTGAACTGCAGATCGAACAACCCTTCACCACCGAACTGCAGATCTAACAACAAATCATGACAAAACCACAAGATCAATGGAGGGGCGAAGCCGCTCTGTGACTTTCACATCGAACTGTAAATGGAATAACCCATCGCAAGTCACCACCGATCAACCCATCACCACTGCTCTATGACGTTCACATCGAACAAACCATCACCACCGCTCTATAACGTTCACATCGAACAACCCGACCGAGCTATTGTAGCGACAGCAATGGGGGAGAGGGAGAGTAGAAGAGATACTGAGAAGAGAAAAGAAGAAGAGGGTACTTTATTAATTTACAGATTCTCTCTCTACATTATAACGGAAATGGCGGTATTAATTGGGATATAATAAAAAAAATTTACCAATAAAAAAATACTAATTAGAACCTGATTAGTGAAATATAAAGTTATTATTTGATTTCTGAAATTGAAATACTATAATCCGCCCGGGTTGTAATTTCCTCTTTATCCTTTTAGTAAGGGACTAAAATTCCCAAAGAGAAAAACCTCTCTGCCAGAATTTTTTTGATAGAGACTTTGACAGTCCCTCACAAGTATTGGGCTCCGCGTGAATAAACAATTGGGATGAAGAAGTGGGACCGTCCCCAAATGTAAGAGTAGCCTAGGGCTTCTGTCATTCTCCCTTCTGGTAGTGTAGCTCGGTTCATTCCCAAAACCTACCGGACTATTCTCATTTTTTTGTGCCGCATTCTTTTTCATAGACACGTGTCAGATTTATTTAATTAAAATAGATTTTTTATATATGTAAAATGTTATATTTTATCTTTAAATGTAAAGTGGAAAAAAAATAATTTTTATTCATAAATTTCATATCCATATGAGTCCGAAAAATTAGTCGAGTATGCTCTGTATTTTGAATAGTTTTCTTGATGCTTGATTGGATTGGTTTTTATCCAAAAATATGTGCGATTCAAAGTGAATCAATACATCCTTCACTTTGACCTATATTTACCAATTCATTCCAACAACAAGCTAGGAAGCTTCAGTCTGCACAGGAAGACTCTAAAGTTTTCTTAAGCTAAAGTAGTTAGTTAGAAGAATTGATGCTATTAATCTTCACTACTATTACACCTCCAAATAGCAAAGTTTTCTTCCTTGCATTAAATGCTAGTGACATTCTAGGTATTATCTCATTATACATGTATCACTGCAATAAGTAGAAGCATAGCCAATTAAAAGTCAGCTTCTCTGTAAAGCCAGAGACGGTCCTGAGGATGTGCGAGTTGAGCGACCGCACAGGGCCTCAAAATTGTGGAGGCACCAAAATTTTTTTTGTTATAGTTTTATATTTATTTATAATTAAATGTTTATGTCGAAAATTTTGAGTTTTTAGTAGCTATGATCATATGGTATGAGATATTGTATGTTGCTAACTTGATTAGTAAACACTTGCAACCTAATGATATGCTTATTGACGTTGCTATTGAGGAAGTGAAAAGGCTGATTGCTTTTATAAAAAAATAAATAAATAAATAACAATAATAATAATAATAAAGGAAAGCTGGATTCAATGATTCGATAAAAATATTGCTAAAGAAATTGCTATTGAAATGAAAATTAATCCTTTATTTCAAGTGAAACATATAATACATAAAAAGAAACATTTTGATGAAAATTCTACTATAGACGACGTACAATCACCTGAAGGTTTGATCAATTAAATTCATATGGAAAAAAAAATGGATTTTTATTTTCCTTTGACAAGTTAAACTCATTGGATGATATTAATTTGAAAGCATGTTGTGATCATTTTGACATTGTTTTAAGACATGTAAATTTTTGCGATCTTGATGGTAAAGATTTATTTCAAGAGTTAAAAGTTTTGCGAAATTTTAACGAAAGAAATAAAAACGGCTTTTGATAAATTGACTTATTTGAAAAGATTGGATTGCGTTCTGAATACATGTATTGCTTATAGAATATTATTGGCAATTCTTGTTACTGTTGCATCTGCTAAAAAAGATTTTTCAAAATTGAAGTTATTAAAATCTTATTTGCGATCAACCATGTTACAAGAACGATTAAATAGATTAGCTTTGATATCTATTAAGCAAGACTTTCTAGAAAATATTGATTACGAAAGTTTTATTAGTAAGTTTGTTTCTAAAAAATGCGAGAAGAAATATTTTTATATGATTTGTTGCATTTCAAACTTTACACTTGATATATATATTTTTTTCAAAGTTTGCTTATACGGAATTGCATGAAGAGGCTAACTTTGTTGATGACATATGAATTTTGATAAAGTTTGAGAGATATTTTTGAGCTTTTTTATGTTTTTCTTGTTCATATATGTTTAAAAAAATGTAAATATCTTATTTTTACAATGAAATAATATTATTGATTTTTTTTTAATATATGCTTTTGTTTCTTGAAGGGGGCACCATTTTAAAATCTCGCACATGACACCCAAAATCTTAGGGCTGACTCTGTGTAAAATAGGATATAACTGTCTTTATTTTTATTATTTAGTGCTTTTATGTGGTTAGCAAAATGTTAATCATGCTTGCACAATTTACCTTTTAAAGAAGCTTTACATACTACAAGGCCGATCCTGATTATAGGCGATGTAGGCAATAGCCTAGAGCCCGCTTTGATGAAGGTCTAATATTATATAAGGTTAATTGACTAGTCGAAGAAAAATGAAAATTATAATTACGAAATTCTTTAAATTAGAATTATCATATGCAAGCACCAGAAATTAATAAATTTGTAAATCAAACATATCCAAAAAAGCATATGAATGGCATATAATTTATTACATACATTTATGTATCACATAAATATATCATAACCATAATTTTCCCTATATATAATTAATTTGACTATTTATCTTCCCAACCATCATTTTTCTTTTTCTTAACAAGAATCAAGACTATAGATTAAGAAACAAATTCAAGAACAAAAATTAAAGAATCAAAGGAAGCGAAATTCAAGATTAAAAGTGAAGAAATCAAACATGAAAAAATCACAGTTTAAGCTTCAAGATTCATGATCTGGAATCAAGATTTAGTAATAAAGAATTATTCTCAATGAATTTAAGGTATGTTCTGCATTAATTATTATTATTATTATTATTATTTTTTTTTTTTGGTGATTTGATGTGAAGATCTTGATAATTCATAAAGTTTTACAAAGTTTAAGTTTCGTAAAACTTC